AGCAATCCCATTACTGGGTATATATCCAAAGGATTATAAATCATTCTATTATAAAGACACATGCACACGAATGTTCACTGCAGCCCTGTGTACAATAGCAAAGACCTGGAACCAACCCAAATGCCCATTAGTGATAGACTGGACCAAGAAAATGTGGCACATATACACCATGGAATACTGTGCAGCCATAAAAAATGATGAGTTCATGTCCTTTGTAGGGACTTGGATGAATCTGGGAACCATCATTCTCAGCAAACTGACACAAGAACAGAAAACCAAACACTGCATGTTCTCACTCATAGGCGGGTATTGAACAATGAGAACACGTGGACTCAGGGAAAGGAGCATCATCACATACTGGGGGCAGTTGGGGGGGGGTAGGGGAGGGACAGCAGGGGGTGGGGAGGGTGGGGAGGGATCACATGGGGAGAAATGCCGAATATAGACGAAGGGGGAATAGAGGCAGCAAACCACCTCGTTATGTATGCACCTATGCAACAACCCTGCAGGACCTGCACTTGTACTCCAGAACCTAAAGTAAAAAAAAAAAAAAGTAGAAGCAGAAAAATTCTCTTCTTAAATAGTAAACTAGTTGTTTCCCAGAAATTCAATGACAAAAAGTAAAAGTCGAAATCCCTCCAGTTTCCCTAATCATATTCCCTAGAAGTTACACATTAAAAATTGAGCCAGGCACAGTGGCACATTCCTATAGCATAAACTATGTGGGAGGCTGAGGCAGGAGGATCTGGGAGTTCAGGGACAGCCTGGTTAACATAGTGAGACCCCATCTCAAAATAACAACACCAACAAATTTGGCGTGTCTCTGTCCAATTGTATTCATTCATATTGTTCATTCATATTGTTAGGAGGAAAAACTTTTCCTCTACCAACTTGGGGTCAGTGGTTGGGGGCCTGTGAGTTTAACTGACAATAGGTAAGATTAACAAGAGAAAAGACAAATCGAATTTATAAGCTCCAGAGCCTTGGGATGAATTGGCTTCCAGAACAGCCAAAGATACCCTCTTAATAAGGGGAAAAGGAGGCAGGAGGAAGGGCTTTTATGGAAGAACAAGGGGAAGCTATGACAGTTTCAGATAAAATTTGTTAAGCAGTTAGTAACTCCAATGATAACGCTAAGTCGCTTTTCTGGCTCTAAACCTCCCAGAGAAGATATTTATGGCAGCTGTATTTTTCAGGAGGTCCTGCTTACATCAGTAAAAGAAATATAAAGATTTTTTTTCCTGTAGCTTCTTTTGTTCAAATGTTTTTAGCTTAAAATAATCTTTATGCTACTGAGTTACATTTTGGATCCTTACATAGTCAACAAAACTTAAGATCTTATTAATAAATAACACTAAATAAAAGTACTGAGAACCATTCAAGCTGTTTGGAATATATCAGTGTACAAACTATCAATGTTTGGACTATCAAAGTTTGTATCAATGTACAATTTTTTTTTTTTTCAACATGGGGTTTCACCATGATGGCCAGGCTGGTCTTAAACTCCTGACCTCAGGTGATCCACACACCTCGGCCTCCCAAAGTGCTAGGATTACAGGTGTGAGCCACCACGCGTGGCCCAATGTACAAATTTTTTAAAAGTCTTGTCTTTTTAAAAATGCCTAACATTTTAATAACTAAAATAATAATATAAATAAATAATTTTAAAAATGCCTAGTATTTTAATAAATAATTAACATGAGTATAAGAACCTCTTACTTACAAACAATTTGAATGTGAAATCATTTATAGTACAAAGAAGTCTTCAGTTGGAAGAAACCCCACGAGGTATGATACCCTTAAAGAAGTGTCTTCTCCAGGCTTTACCTACATGTCAGAAAACACCTAACAAAGAAACACGGAAAGCTAAAAATTTTGAAATTATATATTTTTAGCAGGATGTTTTCCAGACCAGGGTTTTTACATTTTTTATTGTATATGATAAAAAATGTTCCTGGTTACCAAGAAATCCCAGGAGTCTTGACCAGGCCTCCTTTGAAGGAGGAGTGTAACAGAACAGAACAGGTCTGGAAGGCAGGAGTCTGATTCTTCCTTGTGTGGCCTTGGCCGAGTCCCACCCTTTCCTCAGCTTGTTTCCTCTGCTGCAAAATAGAGATGAATGCTACTATCCTTTTAGGTATTATGATTCATTCTGCACAGGATATAAAAGTCTTCAATGAGATTATTCATGTAAAGCACTCAGAAGAGTTATCTTTGCTATTACTCCAAGTTATTTACTCATACATGCTAATTGAGACAATGCATGAAGTGCAGTTTAGCCTTAAGGGAGTGTTATCTTTATACAGCAAATTCCTTGATCCGTCTGGAATCTCCAAGATACTAGATGGTTCTTGCCTTCAAGGTCAAATTGAGAGTGAATCACTTCTAAAGAAGAAAATCAGTGTCCAATAAATGCTGTGGGCTGGCCTAGAAATGTGAGAATCAAAAGCGACTTCAGCCAATCAGTCTCAGGGGATTCAGCAGCTGCTGCAGACCAAGACGCAGCCCCTGAGAAGGTGTCCAAGTGTGAGCAAAAAACCTAGAGGCTGAATGAAGCAGGCCAAGGAAGCAGCTGAGGCTGAAACTGAACAGCACTGCCTGCAGGGGGAGAAAGAGTTCAAGACCAAGGAAGCCGTTCCCTGGAATCCCACAGCAGCCATGGCACCTCCTACAGGAGGATCAGAGGAAGAAAACCAGCCTCCAGACCTACTTCCAGCAGAATGGGGGTGAAGGCTTGGATAGCCTCCTGGCTTTTGTCTGTGACACCTGGACAGAAATCCATGAAAACTGCTGCGTAAATGAAGAGGAGCAAGAAGAAGAAGCACCTGTACCATGGATTGGCATTTTAGATACCCTCAGGGAATATGAAGCTCCAGTTATATTCTTATGAAAAGGCATTAAATGATTTCTGTATATTATATAGAAGGTTCCTTCACTTCTTGGAGAATATAAAATATAGCTTCTTTGTACAGAGTTAGAACTTACCTATAAAGTTTCTGTTTACATTGTATTTAGTGCAAATTTAATGGGTATATGTTATCTGTTTTCCTATGCCTTTTAGCTCAAGTAACATATGTATCCATGTTGACTTTTTCTTTCTTATATCTAGTAAAAAAAATTCTTTGGAAAAAAAAGAGATTAATAATTTTTTCCCCCTGTAGCACTTTCTTGAATGTCAGGGACTCTATCTATGAAAAAATAGTCAATGGTTATCTGTAATCTGCGTGAATCAGCAGCCAGCCTTAAACTAGTCCATTCCTGCTAATGGTTAGAATAATGAATGCTAGTGTAACTGTTTGAGCTGCTTTTAGTTTCTCTTAATCAAAATTACTAGATGGTAGAATTGAAGAATTTGTTACATGTTATTACTTGGTGTACTGGTAATCATTTAAAAGTAACATTTTGTCATGCAAAAAGAAAAAAAAAGAATTTTCTAAATGTCCCTGGACAGATGAATGGATACAGAAAATGTACATACAGTGGAATACAAGTCAGCCTTAAAAAGAAGACACTTTTGCAATGACAACCAAAAGGCATCTTAGGGACAGTGGGCCACCTCTAGTCTATAATGGAATCTCTAGCCGTCTCCTTCAGCCTCTGGTGGAATAATTGCAGAAGGGGCACTCTGGGTCATGGGGGCTCCTGTGAGCCGGGGAGTGGGACTGTCCTCAGCCAATCGGCAAGCACAGGGCCATCCAGGAGCCAAGGAGCCCCGGCCGATTGTTGCTGATGGGAAATGTGATCCCAGGCTTGCCTGATCGTTTGATATTACCCCCACCAAAAAATTTTTAAAATCTGCATTTGTATGGAAGATTTCCACATTTTAAATGTTAGCCCAAATTTATACAAAATTGTAAGTTCAAACAACACCTGTTGCCAGAAGAGAGTCCCATTTTCAATGTCTGCCCTGGAGGTAAAGGGCACCAGCTCTGGATTTATATGACTTGAATTCAAATCCTACCTCTGGACCTTCCTGGCCGATTATTAATCACTCGCTGCCTCAATTTTCTCTTTCATAAAGTAGGGTTTATTAGAGTTTTACCTCATGAAAATTCTTGTGAGGACTGAATAAAATATCATGAAATCTAGACTAGAAAGAGCTGAACACAGTACCTGGCACAAAGTAAGAGTTCAATGCATGTCAGTTCTTATGATTTATTTATTTGAGATGGGGTCTGACTCTTGTCTAGGCTGGAGTGCTGTAGTGCAATCTCAGCTCACTGCAGCCTCCATCTCCTGGGCTCAAGCAATCCTCCCACCCCAGACTCCCAAGTAGCTGGGACTAGAGACATGGGCCACCATGGCTGGCTAATTTTTTTTGTAGAGATGGGGTTTCGCCATGTTGCCCGGGCTGGTCTCAAAACTTCTGAACTCAAGCAATCTGCCTGCCTTGGCCACTCAAAGTGCTGGGATCACAGGCATGTGCCACCATGCCCAGAAAGTTCTTATGGTTATTGTTTAATAAGCTCTGTCAATCCCTTAGGCTGGACACCAACAAATCTATCTAATTAGGTATGTGTAAGAATGGGGTTGTCCGTGAGGCTTAGATGAGCGAATACTTGTAAAGCTTTAGAATGGTCCCTGGAATACGGCAAGGGCTCAGTAAATGCTGGTTGTCATGATTCCCCTCTATCATCTGGCTGATTTTTTTTTTTTTTTTTTTTTTTTGAGATGGGTTGTTCTGTCACCCAGGCTGGAGTGCAGTGGCATGATCTCAGCTCACTGCAACCTCCATCCCCACCGTGTTCAAGTGATTCTCCTGCCTTGGCCTCCCGAGTAGCTGGGATTACAGGTGTGTGCCTGGCTAATTTTTATAGTTTTAGTAGAGACAGGGTTTGGTCAGGCTGGTCTGGAACTCCTGACCTCAGGTGATCCGCCCACCTTGGCCTCCCAAAATGCCAGGATTAGATGTGTGAGCCAATGCGTCTGGCCCATCTGGGTGATTCTTGATAGCCCTCAGAAAAGATCAGCAGGAACACTGCGCTCTCCTTTCTACTCACATGTCAGGCAGACCATGGCAATGCGAATGGACAGATCCAGAGGCAGTGCCCAGCGTGTTGACACCCGGGAGATGGCGAAGGGGATGATGATTTCTGCAGGGACATAGAACTGCAGAGCATAGGTGCACAGGATGCCGGCAACGTAGAGAAGCTTGACAGACTGATACAACCTGCAAGACAAGCCACAGCGCTGCTCTCCACCGCCACTGTGTTCTGACACTGGCCTCCTTGGAACATTAACCTCTGAACTCGGGACAATGCCTTGGGCTTTTGTTTCCCTTTCTGAAAATGACAGAGAGGGACCTTCTAAGAGTCAAGAGGGAGAGCATGCAGTGAAAACAGGGGGAAGCTTTCCAGATTCAGTGGAAACAATTGAAAGAGTCATTTCTAAATGAAATAAAAACAATCTTGAGCTTGGGTATACATATAAATTTTTTTTTCTTTTTCTTTTTTTGAGTCTCACCTGTTGCCCAGGCTAGAGTGCAATGGCATGATCTTGGCTCACTGCAACCTCTGCCTCCTGGGTTCAAGAGATTTTCTTGCCTCAGCCTCCCAAGTAGTTGGGATTACAGGCACCTACCACCATGCTTGACTAATATTTTGTATCGTTAGTAGAGACGAGGTTTCCCCATGTTGGCCAGGCTGGTCTTGAACTCCTGACTTCATGATTCTCCAGCCTTAGCCTCCCAAAGTGCTGGGACTACAGGTGTGAGCCACTGCTCCCAGCTGAGCTTGGGTATATGTTGCACCTTCACAAATCACACAAAATACTCATGCTCAATATTATGTTTTAGAAAAGAGAGGCTCAGGCCAGACACTTTGCCCAGGGAGACACAGATGATAAGTGGCTAAGACCAAAAGCCCTAGATCTAAAACACTAGTCCGTTGTGATCTGTCAGTCCTTAGAAATTCTCTGGATTTCCCAAAGCTCTTGGCATATAACAGATGCCTCTAGTTGGTTGAGAGAACTGCAGAACTCCAAATCCTTTGGGAAGAGACAGTTTATAAATAGGGCTGTGTGAAAGGTAGCGGGGGTCAGGGTGGAATAAAAGGAGAAACAGGGTTACTTACCAGCCTCAAGCTAGGGGCAGAGAGTATGTGAGCCTTCAGGGGTTTTTGAGATTCTATCTAAGTTTTTTTTTTTTTTGATCTATTTGATCTATCTTCAGTCTACTAATGTGGTCGATGCACTTCCATGTTTAATAAATGTGTGTGTGAGCCTGGGTGCAGTGGCTCATGCCGACAATCCCAGCACTTTGGAAGGCCAAGGGGTGTGGATCACTTGAGGTCAGGAGTTCAAGACCAGCTTGGCTAACGTGGCAGACTCCCATCTCTACCAAAAGTACAAAAATTACCCAGACATGGTGGCACACACCTGTAATCCCAGCTACTTGGGAGGCTGAGGCAGGAAAATTGCTTGAACCCAAGAGGCAGAGGTTGCGGAAAGCCAAGATCACGCCATTGCACTCCAGCCAGGGTAACAAGAGAGAAACTCCATCTCAAAAAATAAATAAATAATAAGTGAATAAATAAATAAATTGTGTGTGTGTGTGTGTGTGTGTGTGTGTGTGTGTGTTTAGCCCATTCCTTAAAAAGGCTAACTTCCACATTTCTGTTTCTTGCTCACACTAGTCCTGCTGCCTGAGCACCTTCTTTACTCCATTTCCATCTGTTCAGACTCCACCAAGTGTTTGAAATGTCCCTCTTCTGAGCAGGTACCACAGCCAGATGCTTTTAGACACTGCCCAACTTAATCCTCATGACAACTCTGGTTTATTAATGAGGAAACACGTGCAGAGAGGTGAAGCAAATCAGCCACCACCATAAGCTAGTTGGCAGTACAACAGAGACCCAGAATGGTCCATGTTTGGATGGAGCTGACCTGCTGGATAACAAGTTTCCCTGCTGTCTCCTTCTGATGTGCTTTCTTTCCTTGGAAATCCCCAAGGCCTCTTTGCTACTGGGGAGAGCTTCTTTTTCTATGTTACAGTGTGTGTGTATACACTATCTGTCCCTCCTCTACTCCCATTGAATCGGGAGCCAGTGATGATAGTGAAGCCTCAAGGTCATAGTCTGCTCACATCACTTCCATCCGCACTCCTGTGTGTCTAGTCTGACATCTGCTTGTAATTGGCATGAAGTAAATGCTTGATGAGTGGCATTATCATCTTGTGAAAGGAACCCCATTTAGGCAAATTAGGGCTGCACGTCACTGTGACTGTCTGCTTGAGAAGACAGAAGTGTCCTATAATTAATGACATGACCTGGTGTGGGAGAAAATCCTGCATGATGGGATGTGGGTTCATGTGTCTGTTCAATAGGGCACTGTTGAAGTCTGTGGGGCTGCTAACCATCGCATGAGGTGGGTATATTAGAACATAAGAGTTTTACAGATTCCAATGGTCTTCCCAAATTGTTGTTTTGCTTGTTTGTTGAGACAGAGTCTCACTCTGTTGCCCAGGCTGGAGTGCAGTGGTGCTATCTTGGCTCACTGAAACCTCCACCTCCCAGGTTCAAGCAATTCTCCTACTTCAGCCTCCCTAGTAGCTGGGACTATAGGTGTGCACCACCATGCCTGACTAAGTTTTTTTTTTTTTTAGTAGAAATGGGATTTTACTGTGTTGGCCAGGCTGGTCTTGAACTCCTGACCTTAGGTGATCCACTCACCTCGGCCTCCCAAAGTGCTAAGATTACATGCATCACCACATCAGCTTGTTTGTTTGTTTTTAAGAGACAGGGGTCTCACTGTGTCACTCAGGCTGGAGTGGAGTGCAGTGGTGTGATGACAGCCTTCAGTAACCTCAAACTCCTGGGCTCAAGTGATCTTCCCATTTCACCCTCCCTGGGACTACAGGTGTGAGACATCATGCTCAGCTAAGTTTTAGGAATCTTTTTGTAGAAATGGGGTCTCACCATGTTGCCCAGGATGGCACAATTGGTTTTTGTTTTCCACTTTTTTATATTGTTACTCTGACTTGGGGAAAGTGAACCATTGGCTGTGGCAAGCAAGACTTGGTGGTGAGACTTAGTAAACATAACAGGAAGTGTGGCCACCCGCTGACTCCTCTCTCTGTCTCTTGTCTTCTCCCAGTGCCCCTCCCTTCTCCCCTTAGGAGACCAAGGACTCTCACTTGTGTCCTCTCTTCTTAAGTCATGTCCTCCTTCACACTAAGATGTCAACGCTCAACTCAATTTAGGAGGCTGTTGTTGAAGGAGGAACTCCCTGGACAGAGAATCTGGAGACTATGGTTCCAATGACAACTTTGCTTCTTCTGTGGGAGGCTCTCTAGACCTTGGTTTTCCAGCTGTGGAAGGGAGGAGGAAGTGACCTACATGTTTCCACCCATCCCTTAGTCTCCACCACCTGACAGCCCATGAAGGTACCAGCAGTTAGGCAGGTTAAGGCTTATGCTGGCCTTGATGTCATCTCCAAACCGCAGGTAGCCCAGAGTCCCGATGCCGATGTACAGGGCAGTGACGATGGATATTCCCAAAGACAGGATGGCTGGGAAGTGGCGGGCATCTTTCATCTTGTTTTCCAGAGGCAGAACCTACAGAAACATCACAGTGTAAAGAGTAAGAAGGAGAAAGAGAAACATGAACATAAAAAAAAAAAAAAAATGGCATCCCACTTCTGGATGTCTACCCGAAAGAACTGAAAGCAGGGCCTCAAAGAGATATTTGTACACTGATGTTCATAGTAGTGTTATTCATAATAGCCAAATGTGGAAGCAACCCAAGTGTCTAGCAACAGAAAAGGGATGCACAAAATGTGGTGTATCCATGCAATGGAATGTGATTTAGCCCATAAGAAGAAGGAAGTTTTGACACATGCTACCATGCAGATGGATCTTGAGGACATTATGATGAGTGTAAAAAGCCAGTCACAAAACAAGGGCTGCCTGATTCCACTTATGCATGGTACCTAGAGTAGGCAGGTTCAAAGAGGCAGAATGCTAGTTGGGAAGGACTGGCATGAGGAGGGTATGGGAGTTATTTTTAAACGAGTACAGAGTTTGTTTTGCAAGATGAGGAGTTCTGCAGATGGACGGCAGTGATGGCTGTGCAATACACTGAATTTAATATATATGCATACTTGAAATGGTTAAGATGGCAAATTCTATGTTAGGTGTGTTTCATCACGACTGAAGGAAAAAGGAAGTAAAAGAGGAGGAAAAAAGGTCGGAAGATGAGGGTAAGAAGGAAGAAAAAGATAAAAAGAAAAAACCAGAGTCACAAGATGAGCCCTGGATGGTTAAGAGCTGGAAGGGCCCCTGAAGTTATACAGACCAAAGATCTCAAGACTCTGGGGCAGTTAGATCTGGCCAGCAGATGCATTTTGTTTTGACAGCACAGTCTTTTAGACAATTCAATATGATTGCCTTTAGGTACAACATTCTTTTCCCATTCACCAGGCCCACCTCCCTTCACCCCCGCCCACCAATGAATTATACCTGGCTTTCCAAAGACATTTGCATTTGAACCTCCTAATTCCGGAGCAGCCTTCCCCATCACCCATTACTATACAGTGGGGAGGCTGAGACTTCAGGAACACAGGGCGCTGGTGACAGTTGGGACCAGAAAGCGCTTCGTGGTTCCACCAGCAGGGCGTTGCCCCACACCCTAGATTCTCACTCTTCTGTTCTCAGAATCCTTCTTCCCCTAAATGCATACCTGATTCTAAGAGAATCCAAGTTGAGGCCAATCTGCCTCTTGTCAGTTGGGCATTTGAAGGTCTCTTCTGTCTTTAAAACCAATCTTCCTTTTCCTCATCCCATAATTTCCTTCTCAGGCTCTTATTGTCCCAGAGACCACCCCACCTTCTCCTACTCCTTGTTTAGACTGTGTGCTAAGCCCTCTCTACATGCGCTATTTAGCTAATGTGTTCCTTATCTGAAAACGGGCTCAAATGAATTTTGCTTTTTTTTCTTTTTCAGAGAGTGTCATCTGTCACCCAGGCTGGGGTGCAGCAGTACAATCACAGTTCACTACAACCTCCAGCTCCCAAGCTCAAGAGAGCCCTCCCACCTCAGCCTCCTGAATAGCTGGGACTATAGGCATGTGCTGCCATGCCCAGCTAATTTTTGTATTTTTTGTAGAGATGGGGTTTTGCCATGTTGTCTTGAACTCTTGGGCTCAAGTGATCCTACCATCTCGGGCTCCCAAAGTGCTGGGATTACAGGTGAGAGACATCACACCTGGCCGAATTTTGCAAATTTTGTGGAGAATTACACAAGCACCATAATGGCACAGACAAGGGCTTAGTAAATGTCAGCAGTTATGATTTTTTAATACTCTGAAGACCATAACTCTATGAAGTTGGCGCCTGCCTAATTCTTGTTTTAACAGATGAGAAAAACAAGACTGAAAATGAGATAACATCCCAAGTTACAGAACCAGAAAGTGGCAGATTCAGGTTGTAAACCAGGGCTGTCATCCAAAGTCCAAGGATGTGCTTCTACTCTTAAAGCAATGGGCATATTTGTTACTAAATAGGAATTTAGCATCTTTTCCCTTGTACTGTTGAATGCTTTTTTGTTGTGTAGGCAAAATTCCAGCCCTGCAACCCCTAACCCTTCCTCCACTCCAGGAATTTGGAAGATGCTTGAGGGCAGTGTCATGTTGGGTCATCCCTGTGCCTTTGCACTTTCTTCTGGATTAGGTCTAGTTGCAGCAGGAGCTCAGGAGGATGTTTGACAATTATACAATAGTTATATGAAGAGCCGACGAACCAGCTGAGCTCTTGTACCCTGTGATACAATTTTGCTGCATATATTCTCAAGACCAAAAATGATCTTTTCACAAGGCCAATCAGACTGAGTAGCTGGCTTCCTCTCTCTCTCTGTCTACAATTAATCAGTCAAAGAGAAAAATGGCTGTTGACATAGAGTGGAAAGGTTGCTGGACTGAGTGTCAGATGTACTAAGTTTTAATCACATCTGCACAGTTCCTAGCTGGTGACTTAACTGAAGTCCCTTTCTCTCTCTGGGACTGTCCCTCTTCTGCAAAACTGGAGCTGGGCTAGAAGAGTTCTTCTTAAGATAATTTCAGTTAATACTAAGAATCACCAGCACACAGGAGGCATTCAAGAAATACTTACTGAACAAATATTGTCATCATTTTATAGTTGGAGAATTAGAGTGCAGGGAGTAGCCCCATCCAAAGCAAGATTCCAGCACATTCTGCCTCCCAAGTCACTTGCTCAACTACCACACTATGCTTTTGTCCTTGACTATTCCAAATTCTCAAAACAAAGTGCTCCCAGTTCCATATAGATGAAGTAAGCACACTTCACAATATCTCTTTCACTGATTACAACTAAAAGTCCTGGATGAAACACATAAAGCAATTGTGCACGGATTCTGAAGAGTAAATAGCAGCAGGCAGAATGGGGAGGGAAAGCAAAAGAAAAAATGACCGTCATGGCGGAGAGTTTCCCGATTTTTTTCTTCCCGCATGTCCTAGTTTAACCTCAAGGGACACCCAAATCCTAGAACTATACAGTGCATAGAGACAGAAAATAACATCAAGAGAAACTTCTTTATGGCCAGGTGACTTAGAATAGGGTCCCCTGTGGGATGAAGAGCATGGAGAGAATCTCTATTTTTCTGTTTCTTTGTTTTATCTCCAGGGCATGACCTTAAGGCAAGTCCCAGTCACTAAGCAGCATTCTGGCATATCAGTGGCTGCAGTGGTCATGCGAGCACTTAGAAATCTGAGATAAAAATCCTTCTCTCTACACAGAAGTACTGGGAAAGTGAGCTTTAGGATACTGAAGAATGTGGGAAATCAGGACTGGCTACATGATTTATGGGCCCCAGTGCAAAATGAAAATGCAGGGTTCCTAGGTGAAAGATGATTCCAGCAGAGTGTTAAGGTAAGTGTGAGATCCTTCTGAAGGCTGGACCCTATGTGGCTGCATGATTCGCCTGCTCAGGAAAGTGGCCTTGGAAAGAATCACTACTATGCTTTTTCTTTATCTTTTCGCTCATTGCTCAACCCCAGAGGCAGACCTGCTCACAGGAAGTACATGATAGTGAAGGAGACTAAAATCCTAGTTTTCTAGCCAGAGATGGGAAAAAGAAGTCACTGTGAGCTGGCTAGTGTGGAGGAAAACACAAGAGAACAGGAAATTGGAAAAAGCAATCTCCTAAAATCTGTGAATAATGTCCTGGGCCCAGCCCTGAGCTGTACATGTGTGGAACTGATGGGAAGCATCAAAGCAAAGGCTTTGAGAATTGAACTACTGTGTAGAGTCCCATCTGCAGATTGGCACTGGGTGGCACATGAGCAGGGTAGAGTCAAATATCGCTTCAAGGGCTTTGAAAACTAATTGGATATTGAAACCATAGCCCACAGAAGGTGAGCAAGGACTTATGATCTGAATCTAACCAGGTAGATGGTTTGCTAAAACAAAAAAATCAACATTCTGAACAGGATTTTAACAGGATCCTGAGTCTTCTAAAATAATATTCAAAATGCATAGGTCTAAAATTATTCATCCTACAAAGAACCAGAAAAATCTCACCAGCTTTTGAGAGAAAACACAATAGATGCCAACCTTAGGATGACTCAAACATTGGAAATATCAGGCAAAGACTTTAAAGCAGATATTATAACCATACTTCAAAAAGTAAGGGAGAATACTATTACAATAAATGGACAGATACAAGTTCTTAGCAAAGTAGAAGCAATGTGAAAGAAACAAGTGGAAATATGAAAACTGGAAAATAAAATTAGAAAATTTAAATACTTTACTACTGTAGGGGCCTGATAGCAGAATGTAGACAATAGAAAACAAAGTCAGGAAATTTGAGGATAAACAGGAATGATAAAATCTGAACAACAACGGGCAAAAATATTTTTTTAAAAAATGAATAGAGCCTCAGAAACCTGTGGAATATATAGGTGACTTGAACAACATGGGTTTGAATCATGCAGGTCCACTAACACATGGATATTTTCAACCAAATGCACATCGAAGCTGCAGAATTCCTGGGCTGCAAAACCTGTATGTATGTATGGAGGGCTGACTTTTCAGATACTCGGGTTCTGCAAGGCCAACTGCAGGACTTGAGTAGGTGCAGACTGTTTACACACTGGGTGTGTCTGGGGTGGGCGGGGTCTTGGAACCAGTCTCCTGCATATGCTAAGGGATGACTATACGTTAAAAAGTCTAACATTCAGGTTATTGGGATCTCAGATGGAGAAGAAAAAGAGATTGGCGAAGAAAAAAAATCGAAAAAATAATGACTGAAAACTTCCCAAATTAGGTAAAAGACAAATATTTACAGATTCAAGAGATCCCAAACAGGACAAACTCAAAGAAACTATATTAACTATAATACAGTATAACTGCTGATTTAAAAATACTCTTTAAAATTATGAAAGCAACCAGAGAAAAACACATAGGAGAACAATGATTCAAACATTTGCAGATTTTTAATCAGAAACCACTAAGGGGAAAAAGAAAGGAAATCATATTTTCAAAATGATGGAAAAAAAAAGAATTGCTCACCTAGAATTTTGTATTGTGCAAAAATATCCTTTAGGAATAAAGGCAAAGACGATCTCAGATCAAGAAAATGAAGATAATTTGTTACTAGCAGACCTGCTCTGAAAGAAATGCTAATGAAGGTTCTTCATGCTAAAGGGAAATGATGCCAGAAGGAAATGGGATTTCAGGAATAAAGAAAGAGCAACAGAAATGGTCAATATCTGAGTAGATACAATAGCCTGTTTTTTTCTCCTAGTAAGTTTATTACAAAAACTATATATGACTATTGAAAGCAAAAATGATAACATTGTTGGTGTTTCAGTGTATCTGGATACATATGGCAATACAACATAAGGGGGGAAGTGCCCTATACGACTGTAAAATTTTGACAGGTAAACTGTCAAAGGATAAAATATTAACTCAAAGTAAACTGTGAAAATATATATTATAATCCCTAGATAACCTACTAAAAGTATTATGGAAAAAGATATCATCAAAAAGTCAATAGGCCAATTAAAGTGTTAAAGTGGAATACTATAGAAATATAATAATCAAATCTGTGTGGTTCTGGCATAATGGTGGACATATAGACCAATGGAATAGAATTGAGAGTATAGAAATAAACCCTTACATCAATGGTCAATTGATTTTTGACAAGTGTGTCAAAACTACACAACATGGAAAGAATAGTCTTGTCAACAGATTGTGCTGGGACAACTGGATAATCACATAGAAAAACATGAAGTTTGACTCTTACCTCATACCACATGCAAAAATTAACTCAAAATGGATTAAAGACCTACATACAAGAGTGAAAACCATAAAAATCTTAGAAGAAAACTCTGAGGTAAATCTCCATGACCTTTGATTTCTTTTTCTTTTTCTTTTTTTGGAGGCAGGGACTTGCACTGTCACCTAGGCTGGAGTGCAATGATGCAATCATAACTCACTGCAGCCTTGAACTCCTGGGCTCAAGTGATTCTCCTGCCTTGGCTTCCTGAGCAGCTGGGACTATAGGTGTGTGCCTCCACACCCAGCTAATTAAAAAAATTTTTTTTTTTTTGCAGAGACAGGGTTTCTGTATGTTGCCCAGGCTGGTCTCAAAGTCTTGCCCTCAAGTGATCCTTCTGCCTCAGCCTCCTAATGTGCTGGATTAAAGGCGTGAGCCACCACATCTAGCCATGACCCTAGATTTTGCAATAGATTCTTAGACATAACACAAAAAGCACAAGCAGAAAGAAAGAGAAGAATTGGACTTCATCAAAATTAAACATTTTTGTACATCACAGTTCACTATCAAGAAAGTCAGAAGCCAGGCATGATGAACTATGGTCACGCAACTATAATCCCAGCTGCCTGGGAGGCTGAGGCAGGTGGGTCACTTGAGCCCAGGGACTAAAAGCCAGCTTGGGCAACATAGCAAGATCCCATCTCACTTTTTTTTTTTTTTTTGAAACAGTCTCTCTCTGTCACTCAAGCTGGAGTGCAGTGATCTGATCTTAGCTCACTGCAACCTCCACCTCATGGGTTCAAGAAATTCTCCTGCCTTAGCCTGTTGAGTAGCTGGGATTACAGGTGCATGCCATCATGCCTGGCTAATTTTTGTATTTTTAGTAGACATGGGGTTTCACCATGTTTAGCCAGGCTGGTCTCGAACTCCTGATCTCAAGTGATCTGCGTGCCTCAGCCTCCCAAAATTCAGGAATTACAGGTGTGAGCCACTGCGCTCAGCCCCATCTCATTTTTTAATAAGAAAAAATTTAAAAGAGAAAAAGCAGGGGAGAAGACAAGAATAAGAAAAAAATTTGCAAATCATTCTTCTGATAAGAATTTAGTATCCAGAATATATAAAGAACTCTTAAAACTCAACAACAAAAAGACAAACAACCTAACTAAAAATAAGCAAAGGACTTGACTAGACATTTCACCAAAGAAGTTGTACAAAGTGCCAACAAGCAAATGAAAAGATGTTCAATGTCAAAAATCTGTACACAAATGCTTACAGCAGTATCATTCATGATTGTCAAAAACTAGAAACAACCCAAATGTTGTTTGACAGGTGCGTTGATAAGCTGTGGTACTGCCCAGACAGTAGATGCTCTGCAATAGAAAGCAAGGTGTTATTGATGTGTCCATCAGCATGGATGACTTTAAAGTGCATTAGGCTAAGTGAAAGAAGCCAGTCTCAGAATCTCATACATACTGTATGATCCCATATAGGTGACCTTTTGGAAAAGAGAAGATAGTACAGGCAGAGAACAGAAGGTGGTTGTGAGGGGTTAGTGGTAGGTAGGGAAGCTGACCACAAAGGACCAGCATGAGGGAGTTTTTGTAGTGAAGACTTGTTCTGAATCCTGATTTTGGTGCATTTATTCCTCTACGTGTTTCTCTAAATTTACAGGAATGTACAGCAAAAAAGTAAATGTTACTGTATGTACACTAAGAGTAAATTTAAAAAATATATAAATAGCACTACCCTTCCACAAGTGTGGAAGTAGAGGCTATAGACTGTAAATACACAGAACTTTCCAGGTTAAAACTCCTTTATGTTTAATCAAATCCTTTAAACTGGGCACCGTGGTTCATCTTGATATTAAAAGATTAGGAAACTCATGTTGACAGGAGGATAAATGTTTACTAGGAATATGGGGACAAAAATAAAACTGTCTCCTGACTGCTTCTCTGTTGTAAACAACTTTTCTCCTGCTGGTGACAACTGTCCCAAGTGAGGCCAGAGGTTACTTTCTCCCATGGGCGTTTTCTAGCAGCCCAAAACATGGCCAGTGGGACACAGAAACCCAGAGCTCACAGCTCCTTTCCAGAAGGTCACTCACAGCACCAGGGATAAGGCCACCTCAATTCAAACCTTACCACACCAATGCTTTCAAAAGAAAAAATGGCTGTTCCGAAGAAGAGAGGGTAGGTCTTCCAGCTTGCTACCAGTGGCAACCGACTGGGGTCTGGGATTTCCTGAAGGAGAGAGAAACGCTATGAGACAATCACTTCCAAAGCACATTTCAGCTCCTTTAAGAGAGGGGTACTCTAAAATGAGGCCTGAATTTTTAAAAATTGAATATCAAGAAGTTTAGAAAACTTCAAAGGGTTGTAGGCCATGATCAAAGTTGATTTCAACACTGCGCAATACCAAAGAGCCAGAGGATGGTATCGTCAAAGTACTGAAGGATTAGCCTCTCATGGAGGGAGTTTGGTTTATCAAAAACCTCCAAAAGGGCCAGGTGCGGTGGCTCACAGCTATAAGCCCTATACTTTGGGAGGCTGAGGTGGGCGAATCACAAGGTCAGGAATTTAAGACCAGCCTGGCCAACATGGTGAAACCCGACTCTATTAAAAATACAAAAATTAGACGAATGTGATGGTGCATGCCTGTAATCCCAGCTACTTGGGAGACTGAGGTAAGAGAATCGCTTGAACTTGGAGGCGGAGGTTGCAGTGAGCTGAGGTTGTGCCACTGCACTCCAGCGTGGGTAAAAGAGCAAAACTCCATCTCAAAAAACAAACAAAAAAACCTTCAAAAGAAAACCTTACACACCGCAGATTAGTGCCAACCTAATGTGCTCCTGAACTGTCCTTTGAAGGGACAATGGTCACAGGTGTTGGAAATTGCTGTGACTGCAGCCATAGTAATAATCTAGGAAGCCAAAGTAATGAGTTAAATATGAAAGAACCCTGTTCTTCTTTAATGAGCTGTTAACTGAAGGGGAGAAGACTGTGTAGAATAAATATTCTATGTACCTTGTGACCCACAGTGTGAAAATGATGACAGAACCATTTTTCTAATTGGGCAATCTTTGGAATTGTCCAAAAATGTATCAAAGGTAGCTATCTCATTAGGAAATTTAATTTTATAGAATTCATCAATATCTCCTAAGGAATATAAGATTGATCTTCAGTTCTTCTAAAATGTTTGACTGTTATTTTTACTAAATTTCACAGACAGCGTAACTTTTTTTCTCTTTTGACTCCTTAAAGAGAACGTCTGGAAGTTATTAAATATGCCAAGAGACTTCTGAGACTTAACTTTCTTTGTAGTGTTGTCCACTATAAAAGAAGAATTAGTTTGGGCACAATGGCTTACGCCTGTAATCCCAGCACTTGGTGGGCTGAGGTGGCGACCAGCCTGGACAACATAGAAAACCCCATCTATTCTAAAAATACAAAAATTAGCTGGGCATGGTTGCTGGTGCCTGTAGTCTCAGCTACCCAGGAGGCTGAGGCAGGAGAATCACTTGAACCCGAAGGCAGAGCTGCAGTGAGCTGAAATCGTACCGCTGCACTTGAGCCTGGGTGACAGATTGAGACTCCATCTCAAATGAATAAATAAAAATTAGAAAAGATAGCAAATTAGGAAACTGAGAGAAAATCAATAGCCATAATTCAACCTCAAAGATATCATAACTAACATTGTAATAGATTTGCTTACAGGTTTCTTTGTTTGGCTTTTTTTTTTTTTTTTTTTTTTTTTTAGTAACAAGACACTTACTGAAAGCTTATGGTTTTTGAGACTCTGCATACTGCATACACCTCTGTGACTAAATATTTAATTTTTTTTTCTCTTGCCTTCCTTAGGGGCAATAGCGGGTACCTGAAATTGTAGCCTATGGGTAATTCAATAAGTTTTAGCTATAGTACAAGAACCTCTTTTCACCTGCCTTTTGCTGCCAGCCAACCATTATAGGAACAATCTATAGTTCACCAACCAAGAGGTTTTCCTTGCAAGCACACTTAAAAAAAAAAAAAAAGCCAGATTTTGACATAAAAGTAGGTATTTAAGGCCAGTTGTGGTGGCTCACGCCTGTAATCCCAGCACTTTGGGAGGCCAAGGCAGGTGGATCACAAGGTCAAGAGATCGAGATCATCCTGGCCAACATGGTGAAACCCCATCTCTACTAAAAACACAAAAATTAGCCGGGTGTTTGACATGTGCCTGTAGTCCCAGCTACTTGGGAAGCTGAGGCGGAAGAATTGCTTGAACCCGGAAGGCAGAGGTTGCAGTGAGCCGAAACTGTGCCACTGCACTCCATCCTGGCAGCAGAGCAAGACTCCATCTCAAAAGAAAAAAAAAAAGTAGGTATTTAGAGAAAGAACATGAACAAGGAGACAACCAGAAGAATGGGATTGCTCAGAGACATCTTTGTAGAAGCAATGCTACAGTGAGGTGTGTGTCTCTTACCACCTACAGGGTTGGCTCCAGGTATCTAAAGCTCAGTCTGTCTGATACGAAAACACTGTCCAGTGGAGTGGGCAGCTGTGTGGTGTGTACTCACCTGGGTGATGTACTGGGTGATGATGACCAAGCTGACCAACATGCTGATGTTGGCCAGCATGGAGAAGATGGTCAAGATCCTGAGGTTCCGGATGAGGACCAGCAGCACCAGGAAGGGCAGGAAGGAGAGCATGTAGAGTCGTGAGTCCATGGTGGGGGTCAGAATCACGGTCTCATTGGAGTTACAGTTGTTGGTTGTGCTATTAACAGCTTCCACTACCTAAGGAAGGAATGGGAGAAACAAGAGGGGGAGATGATGACTCTTCTAGCCTCATGGTTGGCTCAGTGCCTTACCCCTAATCAAACTCCCTCAAAACAAATTGGAGTGTCTCATGGTACCAACTCTCACGGGGGGGTAGGGTGAATTTAGAACTCATTCTAAACCCTCTGCACCATACTACCTCAAAAGAGGCTGTATAGGCTGGTTGCGGTGGCTCACACTTCCAATCCCAGCACTTTGGGAGGCCGAGGTGGGTGGATCATTTGAGATCAGAAGTTCGAGACTAGCCTGGCCAACATGGTGAAACCCTATCTCTACTAAAATAAAAAAATTAGCCAGGCGAGGTGGCGAATGCCTGTAATCTCAGCTACTCAGGAGGCTGACGCACGAGAATCGCTTTAACATGGGAGGGTAGAGGTTGCAGTGAGCTGAGATCATACCACCACACATGGCTGTGCAACAGTGAGGCCCTGTATATATATGTGTGTATGTGTGTGTGTGTGTGTGTGTACACACAATACATATAATATATAATATATATGTGTATATATAAATATAACATGTTTTATACATTATACATATATATAACATATATAATAATATATATGTTATATATATAAAGCAATTCTTGCTTTAACCTGGGAGGTAGAGGCATAAAATATACATATATATACATATGTATATATGTGTGTATATATATATATAACATATTATATGTATACATATACATATACATATAAAAGGTTGTACAAATAGTTAAAAATAAATGTAATACAAAATAAATAACTGGATTCACAGTGGCTATTTGTGAGCTTTTGGCAACTAGTATCCATTTCTCCTGATACCAGTTTGATTTTAGTGAGTTCTCTCTTCTCACTGAATGCAGCATTGGAGGACTGTAAATCACAATGTGGCAGAGCTAGGGGATTGGCCTTTAACTCAAGCTGGGGCAGGCAGATCCTCTTCCAGAAATCTGAGTGTCAATCTAAGCATAGGGACCTAAGAAAAGACTAGAAAAGGGCAAAGATTAATACTGGATTCCTGAGGAGGCTGCTCATTAGTTCTACCATCCACATCCTCCTCACTACCCTGGCTTCTGTTCTTCCCTCAGACCTGCATTTTAATTTAGTGAAAGGTAACATCCTCCCACGAAACTTACTTTCTGCTTAAATTCCCCCAGAATCTGTTTTTTTTGTGATAACCTAAAAACTTCATCACTTACTGTTTCCTAATTAACACAGACACTTACTGCCTACTAATTGGCACAATGCTGGCATTTTAAATAAGAAAAGTCTTTCTTGTGTAGATTGGACCATTCATTGCAGAAGATTTAGTAGCCCTGGACCCCACCCAATGAAAGCCATGAGATGCCCAATCACTGTGATAAACAAGAAACCATCCCCCAGCTCCCACACAATATAGACACCCCCTTGTAAAGTCAGTAGGTAAGTGAATGCCACCACCCTCCATTTAAAGTCAGCATGACCTAACTGATACAGTCTTATTGGACAAGCAGTGCAAACCACTGCAGAACAATTAGGAACTAGAGTTCAGCAGGAGAAAAACATAAATGGATTGATAATCTCAGTACCACGATGCTAACATCTTGGGAGTATTCATCTATATATTTTCTATACAATATCACAAATTACATGTATTATACATATTCTTTTTATTTTATAAGACTTCAATCATAGCGTTCACTTTTTTCTTTTGTTAAATGTCCCTTGCATTTAACAATACACTGTGGATACATAGATGAATCACGTATTATTTCATTCTGATTCCTTACTACAACAGGAAAAATAACTGGAACAACAGCCAGGCACTGAAGGCCCTCCATTAATGGGCCCTATCAAACTTTCAAGGTTTCTTCCTCTCCCATGACCTACTCTTCCTCCTGTAGCCAATTATATTGCATCTCCTGGGCAAGTCCCATAACTTCCTGCCTCCAGGTTTTCCCTGATTTCTTCTCTCATCTTGGCTGCCACCACTTTTTCTCCAACCTGTCAATACCCAGCTCAGATGCACCACCCCCCTGGAGGACACTTTCCCTGCTCCAGTGATCTCTGCAATGTAATTTGCACTCTGACCTCATGTTGTTGTTGTTAGTGGTATCCTGGCCTGGCACCAAAATATCATATTGATATTTAACTTACCAGGTTTTAGAACACATCCTATTTGGCCTATAAACTCCTTGTTGCAGTGTCTGTCTTGATAATAATGCAGATGAGAAATAAATGTAGATAATAATAAATGCAGATGATAAGTATAGGTCTGTACATGTCAGATTGCTTTCTGAAGAGAAATCTGACAATGCCTTAAGAACCTTCAAAACAATCAAACTCTTTGACTCAGTAATTTTACTTTAAGAAACATTCAGGAAATAAAGTGCACAAAGACCTTTGTGCCAACAGATTATAGTAGAGAAACAAAGGAAAATAAGGAAAATGTCCAGCAATAGAAGATTGATGAAGTTATGATCAATCTATGTGATGGAATATTATGCAACTATTGAAAATTACATGACAAAATGTAAGGATATTGCAAAATGCTGACCAGTTAAGGTTACATTAAATTATAACCATGAATAGTTGGATTAAGAATAATTGATTTTGTTTTATTTTGTTTGCAGAAATACAACATAGGTTTAAGAACTTGAGCTTTGGCATCAGAAGGCCTGAGTTTTTGTTTGTTTGTTTGATTTTTATTTTGTTTTGTTTTTGAGATGGAGTCTTGCTTTGTTGCCCGGGCTGGAGTGCAATGGAGCAATCTCAGCTCTCTGCAACCTCCACCTTCTGGGTTGAAGCAATTCTCATGCCTCAACCTCCTGAGTAGCTGGGATTACAGATGCACGCCACCATGCCTGGCTAATTTTTGTATTTTTAGTAGAGATGGGGTTTCACTATGTTGGTCAGGCTGGTCTTGAACTCCTGACATAGTGATCTGCCAGCCTTGGCCTCCCAAAGTGCTGGGATTACAGCTGTGAGCCACCATGCCCAGCCAGGCATGGGTTTTTAACTCTGGCTCTGTGACCTTACATACATTATAGAGTTTATAATCTCAGTTTTCTCATCTGCGAAATGGGAATAACAACAGTACCTACCCTAACAAAGTCACAGAGATAATTAAATGAAGGAATACATGTAAAATGCTCAGCACTGTACCTGACATAATAGAAGCTAACTCTGAATGCTTACTATTTTTTTCTTCTAACTACTTCACATTTTTGAATTTCTGGTATTACTACTATAAGCAGAAAAAGAGTCCTAAAGCATAGTTTTCTTTATAAACTTATAGATTAAGCATGGCCTCTGCTATTACCCATATTATTTTGCTAAAATTGCTGTAAGATAACATCTAGGTTAGATCAGAAAGACTTCCTAGGAGCAACAACTATTAAGCCACAGATTAATTTGCTAAAGGTATATATAGATGGTCCAAGGCTAGACGTGGTGGCTCATGCTTATAATCCCAGCTCTTTGGGAGATAGTGGGAAGATCACCTGAGGCCTGGAGTTGGAGACCAGCCTGGGAAACATTGCAAGGCCTCAGCTCTACAAATAATAATAATAATAAAAAAATAGCCAGACACGGCAGCACATGCTTGTGCTCCCATCTACTTGGGAGGCTGAGGTGGGAGAATCACTTGAGCCTGGGAGTTTGAGGCTGCAGTGAGCTGTGATCGCACCACTGCACTCTAGCCTGGGTGACAGCACAATATACTGTCTCAAAAAAAAAAAGAAAAAAGAAAAAGATGACCCAAAGCAGAGTAGGAATCATCAAAAAGAAGACCCCTATCTATTTTAGAAGCAAGAATAATTAAGCTTCCAGGCAGGAGGACTGACAAAATCCAAGGGTCTTTCCAGTTCAGTAGAGATCAACTTTGAGGACAGGTCTAAGATAATGGACAAAGGGTACTGTGGCAAAAGTAACTACACAGAAATCTGCAGCTATGTGAACTAGGGGAAGCAAGTTTGACAACTTTGTAGTTTAATTTCCTTTTTTTGTATCGATGAGGACCCAGAGAGAAGCAGCAGTTTGTTAATTAGCAGTGCCATGCCCTTGACCATATCTTTTCCCCTCCTGTTTTCTCTAGAAGATTCTACCTGTTTTAAATTATCGGCCAAAAACACAATGTACACACAGCAGAAGCCAAGTTGGGTGACAATAAGGAAGAAGCTCACGATATGCCTGGAAGGAAGAAGAGAGGGAAAAAGAAAACTTATCATAAAATAAATCAATTTGTCAGTTTCATTTCTTGCCATTCTGCCCTCTGTCCCCAGCAGTTGGTGGCCCTGTACCAGCACATGTGGTCCTTCCACCACAATCAACAATGGGGCAAAGAGGTGAGGTAACAAGGGTTCTTTTTTAAAAATAGTTTTTAAACACCCTCACACTCTCAGCTCAGTAAGTGGTAAAATGCTTCCTGGTCACAAGCCTCCCCTCATACCTGGCTTGGTGGCATTCCTCATCACTGATACTAATTAATGTAGTGCAGCAGGCACAATGTTTTTATTAGCTACCATTCGGATTTGAAATTTTTTTCTACCATGTGCCAGACACTATGCTGGGCACTGAGAATACACAGACAAATAACACACAGTCCCTTCTTCTTGTGGTTTATGACTAATGGATTAAGTGGACAAAAATTCTTATTATATGGCATTAAGGGCCATAGTGAAAAGGGCACTTCATCCAAATTATGGGCAGACAGGAACCCTTATTAGAAAGCCCTATATCTAAGAGAGAGCCCCTGGGGAAAGGGAAGAAAGAGAGTTGGGGAAGAAAGAGGGAGGGAGAAAGAAAGAGGGAAGAAGAAAGAAAGAGAGAGGAAGAGGAGAAAAGGAGGAGAGAGAGAGAGGAAGAAGGAGAGGGAGAAAGGAGAAGGAGAAGGAAGAAAAGGAGGAAGAGGAAGAAGAAGAAGAAAAGAAGAGGACGAAGAAGGAGGAGGAGGAGGAGGAGGGGGACGAAGAGGAGGAGGAAGAAAAAGAAAGAAGAAAGAAGAAGAAGAAGAGGAGGAGCAGGAGGAAAGGGAAGAAAGAGGAGGAAGAGAAGAAGTGAGGAAAAGCATCTCCACAGAGGGAGGAGGCAGTTTCTCCAGCTGCCGTGTGGTGAGTCCATTAGAGGGGCAAGACTGAGGGTAGGTGAAATAGATAGGAGATTGTTTCAATAAGAGGTGAAAGTTGGCAGCAGCCTGGACAGATATATGACCCTTCAGATGAAAGAACTGAAGCATTTCAAGACATAACTAGGGATCTATAATTTACACAACATGGTAATTCCCCACATCTTGGGGGAAAAGGGAAAGGAGATAGTCTAGGGTGATTTATGGACTTTTGGCTTGGACAACAAAATGAACTGGGAGACTCAGAAGAAAGAAGTTTTAGGAAAAGGGGAAGAAATGACAAATTCAGAATCTGAATAATTGAGCTTGAGGTTTCTATAGAAGACATTTGGGACACAACTAGATATTAGGGTCTGTAACTGTTGTGTTGTAGCAGTGGATAAAGCCTTGCAAAGACAGAGCAGTGTTAGAAAGTGTGCAGAATGAGAAGAGGAGAAGGCAGTGTTCAAACTCTGGAGAACATCAACATTTAATAGAAACAAAAAAGGCTACAGCAAATGTAAAGGAGTGGCTAGAAAGGTAGGAGGGAAACTAGGGGGAAAGAGGTTTGATAGTAGCCAAGTGGGGAGAGAATGTTGAAAGAAGAGAACGGTCAATTGTACCCATTATTGCTGAAAGGTTCTCTAGGGCAAAAAAGATTCATCCAGAAGGTCTTTAGGACATTGCTTGAAAGAACTTCAGTAGAATTATAAGGACAGCAAAGCCAGGTGGTCCGTGAAAGGGCCGTAGATGGGATGTAAGGCAGTAAAGTCAGAGTGGTCCAGTGTTGATGGCACCCGTTTGCTCATTACTGTACATCCATTGTCTAAAGCAGTTTGTGACACATTGTAGGTAGTTAGTAGACATTTGTTGAATAATATATTGAATGTAAGATAGGATGATGGCTACAATGGTAAGGTTCACCAAGTTTTATTATTTTATTATTTGCTTTATTATTTTTAAGATGGAGATACATGAACACATTAAATGCTGAGAGGAAGAGCCCATACTGAAGGAATTCCAGTTATAGGAGAGGCAGTAATTCATGAAACAAGGTCTCTAAATGGAGCAGGGAAATCTTTATATGCCCAACAATGAGTAGAAGGATTTGAGGGTCTGCATCAGGCAAGTCTCTTTTTGGGTCACACAATTGGGAAAATTCTGGTCATTATCCAGTAGTCTTCCTTGTCTGTTTACAGACTGAAGTTATGGATTACTCTTGTTAGTATGGGCATTGAGTGAAGGGCGGTGCCAGGCGCATGATACTACACAGATTATCTGCCACAGGCAGGGGCACACCGTGAGTACTGCAGCAGTTTAGAAAACACAGTTCAAAAGAGACTTTGACAGTCTAGATGGTGCTCAACAAGAGGAGAGAGGCAGGGTGGGGAAAGGTCTGAAACAAAGGCAAAGGAGTCGATTTAGTCCCAAGTACCAGACGACAAAGGGTGTTGAACTGCTCTGTGTTACCCCTGAGAGCTAAAAGCTGGGATTTTTCAGGGAGGATGACTTCCTACAGCTCAACAAGCTGTTCTTAAAATCTTGGTCTTTTCCTGTGTTTTCTTCTCACTATATAACCTCTCCCTAAGAGAGCTGGCTTCAAGGCTGATGACTTCAATTCTGGATAGGTGCATGAAGATAGGCTTAAAGCCACACATCCCCACTGGACATCTCCACTTGAATGTTTCTCAGGCACCTCAAATTCAACTTGTCCAAAATAAAGTCATCAGAAATCTGAGTCAGCCTTGACTCTTCCTCGTCTCCTCATCCCAGAATCCAGTTCATGACCAAGTCAACTCTTCTTCATCCCACTGCCACCAGCTTGGTCAGGCCACCATTGTGACCTGGCTGAACACCGTCAACAGCCTCCTCAGGGGTCTGACTCAATCTGCTCTTGCTCCCTTACAATCTGTTTTTCTCACAGAAGCCAGACAGAACTTTAGACAATACAAATATGACGACTTCCCTGATTAAAACTCTCCAATGGCTTCCTGGATGCTTTTAAGAAATGAACAAATAGTCTTTGTTTCAGAGGCTCTAAAATGTACCACTTGATTGGGCGCCTGGCTCCTTCTCAGTTCCACCTCCCTGGCTCTGCCCTCAAGGTCCCATTGTACCTTGAAGCTGTCACCTATACCTTCTTGCTTCAGGGGCCTTCACTCCCTCTCTTTCTTCTTCAGGGCCCATCCTCCAGGCCCCTGTCCACCTTCCCCGAGGTGATTCCTCATTCTTCAGGACTCCTTCCTACAGAACTCATCTCACCTGTTTCATCCTAGAAAGCCCTCCTCTTCCCTCAAGACAACACACATCTCCTAACCTGTCTGGTGGCAACCAGCACTTCTTTCCTTCATTGTACATATCCAAACGGCTATTAAATAACCCTATTATAGGCTGTCTAGTGTCTGCCTTTCCCACAGGACTATGGGTTCTGTGAGGGCAAAGCCTTGTTTTTCTTGGTCCCTGTGGCATTTCTAGGGCCATAACAGTAACTGGATAAACGTGGTTTAATAAAAGAGTGAATAACATTAAACCTGCATAGCGAAGGAATGAGCACCCTGTCACTGGAGATATACAAGAAGTGGGGCTGGATCAGGGATGTTGCCAATGAACCCCTTCCATGTATAACACAGAAGTGCCAAACCATCCACCTTTCCAGGGAAGAAGTCATCCCTGATAGCAGCACTTTCTCCTCCTGTGTCCTACCCCACTGCAGGCAAAGCAAGAACAAGTTACCTTCCCCAGTGAGCGTGATTCTGGAGCCAGGTGCTGGGGTTGGCTTCTAGTCCATGCATCACCGTGTCCCCATAGTCCATAAAGGGCTTGTTAAGCCTGCAGGAGAGAGTGCACAGGCAGTTTCCAGGAGATAGTTTAGTCTAAAATCACGTGGTCAAAAGTCAGGAGACAAAGAACAAGGCAGGACACTGCTAAAGAGCAGAAAGAACACAGGGGCAGAGACCTCAGGCTTTGACACTCAGCAGTAATTCCTCAGTGGCTTGTTTTTTTAACCTGTTAAATGAGGCAGAGACTACCCAGCAAGAGTATAATGTACACCTTTAATGGGGATGGAAGTTTTCAAATCATGATCCTCATGACAATTCTCTGCATAGTTTATGCCCAATTTCCAGAGGAGCCAACAAGATTAGCGTAATGACCTGACTGAGATCTCCTAAGCAGCCACGTAGCAGAGCCTCACCTGAGCTCCCTGCCCCTGAATGCTCTTCTCTCTTTCTTGGCCTCATTGGAGAAAACTAAGAAGTAAGCTTTTGTTATGCATAGGATGTTTCTGGGCTGTCCCTGAAAACCACGTACCAAAGGAATTGACACAAGGAGGCTGTTCTCACCTCTTACAGAAGCGCTGGGCACACTTGACCAAGATGTGCATACAGTGGCAGGCGACGAACCCCATCACCAGAAGACTGAGTGGACCCATCTGGAGGAAGGGGAGGCAAGGGGTGAGGGAGGAGAGAAGGTAATGCATTTTTAAAGTATACCGCGAGGTGGGACTGGTAGTGCGGATATCATGCTGGACTCAAAGGACTCTCTAGCACACCAGGTTAAAGCCCTCTTGTAGCAGCAACAGCTATTCTTTCAAATATGACCTCAAGTAGTATTACAATAAAGCATATAAAACCATTACAATGGGGTATACTGATGAACGTAGGGGACACAGAATCCTGACTATGTGTGCCCTTTGTGGCCCCCGAAACATCCCCGAGGAGACCTGGTGCTCTATAGAGCATATTGGGAAAACTGGGCATAGTCCAATCCTTGCATTCTACAAGAGAGGAAACTAAGGTCCAGAGAGCAGGCAAATGACTTACCAAGGGTAGTAAAGTCTGTGGGAGAGCCAGAACTCAAACCCAGGCTAGATGGCTAGACTCTAGCCCCGCCCCAAGCTGCCTCCTGGAAACACTGCTCCCCACAGGTTGCTAAACTGCTAGAGCCTCTCCTATCATTTCCCTTCCACAACTGACCATAAATGAAGGCCCCACCTGTGGCACCTTTCTTACCAGGATGCCCGCATTCTTCACAGCCAAGGGTAGTCCCAGGATCCCTGTGCCCATGTTGCCTTTCACCAGGTGAACCAAGGCCTGGAACCCTCTAAAGGAGAGGAAGGGGATGTGAAGCTATGGGTATGTGGAGGTGAAAAGATCCAGCAGTCATTCCCTCGCAGTGTGCCAGCACCTGACAGGCGGGCTCCTAGCCATCGCTCAGTGCATGTGTCCTTGCCTGGAACATCTGGGTCTCCTGCAGGCTCACCAACCATCCCAGTTTGTGCAGAGCTGTCCTGGTTTTAGCAGCTAACACTCAATATATGCTGCAACACTTACTACATGAGACACTGTGCTAGGTGCTTTAAATGAGTATTATTTCATTTAATCTTCTTGTCAAGGCTCTGATGAAGATATAATTGTCATCTTGCAGGTGAAGAAACTGAGGCACAGAGATTTGTTAATGACATATCCAGGATATATCGGGGAGCCAAGATCTGAGCACAGGGCTCCTTTGGAGTCCCTGTTCTTCACCCCACTTCTGCTGAGCTGCCTCCCAGAGATAGACCCAGACAGCATAAGTAAAGAAACAACCCCATTTCATAACTGAGAAAATAGAGGCTCAGAGAGGGACAGAAACTCGCTCAATGTTATAAAACAAGTAGTAGAGACAGGCTCGAACTCAGAGAAAAGGGGAAAGGGCAGAGAGAAAGAAGAAATGATTGTGACTTCTGAATAGGTCAGATGACTGGGCCCCCAGGTGGGGTCTGGCGGGGCATAATCATTCAGAGATTGAGCTCCAGAGGGGTTTCTTTACTCAGCCCAGGGCATCAAGACGGGAGAATGCATGCTTCCCCTCCCCCAAAGAAACTCAGACCCTTCCTTTAAGACAGATGTGAAGGTTGGCCCAGAGGGCAAGGTCTAAACCATCAGGAGAAAAAATGTTCCAGGGAGGTACCTTCTCTATTAGTGAATTACAAAACAACCTATTTCTTTCCTTCCTTCCTTCCTTTCTTTCCTTCTTTCTTCCTTCCTTCCTTTCTTCTTTCTTTCTTTCCTTCCTTCCTTCCTTCCTTCCTTCCTTCCTTCCTTCCTTCCTTCCTTCCTTCCTTCCTTCCTTCCTTCTTCTTTCTTTCTTTCTTTCTTTCTTTCTTTCTTTCTTTCTTTCTTTCTTTCTTTCTTTCTTTCTTTCTTTCTTCTTTCGAGATGGAGTCTCACTCTTGTTGCCCAAATGGAGTGCAATGGCGCGATCTCAGCTCACCGAAACCTCCACCTCCAGGGTTAAAGTGATTCTCCTGCCTCAGCCTACCAAGCAGCTGGGATTACAGGCACAGACAATCATGCCTGGCTAATTTTCTGTATTTTTAGTAGAGATGGGGTTTTACCATGTTGGTCAGGCTGGTCTCAAACTCCTGACCTCGTGATCCGCCTGCCTTGGCCTCCCAAAGTGCTGGGATTGCAGGTGTGAGCCACTGCACCCAGCCAAAACAACCTATTTCTACATGTCTTTGAACCTGGACCCCTGGACCAGGTTAAGTCAAGGGAAGCCTGGGGTCTACACGTGCAACTTTAGAAACCTCGGGCGGGGCACGGTGGCTCACACCTGTAATGCCAGCATTTTGGGAGGCCAAGATGGGCAGATTGCCTGAGGTCAGGAGTTTGAGACCAGCCTGGTCAAAATGGTGAAACCCTGTTTCTACTAAAAATACAAAAATTCGCTGGGTGTGGTGGTGCATGCTTGTAGTCCCAGCTACTCAGGAGGCTGAGGCAGAAGAATTGCTTGAACCTTGGAGGCGGAGGTTGCAGTGAGCAGAAATCATGGCACTGCACTCCACTCCAGCTTGGGCCACAGAGCAAGACTCTGTCTCAAAAAGAAAAAGAAAAAAGAAACCTTGGAAATTCCCCATGAGAGCCTTCTGGTTAGGAGACTTATTCTTTGTAAAGCAGCAGAGGTACTCTGGAAGGATCCCGGTCTCTAGGATTTGAGAAACCAGGGATGAAACCTCAAGGCCACGACTTAACTAGCTGTGTCATCTTGGGCAATGTGTTCAACTTTCTTGGCCCTCTGTAAATGTCAGGAGTGATGCTATTTTTAAAAGATGCTATTTTAAAAGAATCTATGGGCAGAGGCTCAGGAAGCTAGAGGGTTTAGAGCTTTATATTAAATATCTAAACCCTCTAGCTTCCTGAGCCTCTGTCCACAGATTCATCAAGGGTTAAAGAGAACAATCAAGAGAGAAGGGGGGTGGAGAGTCCCCACATGCCTTTCTCCTTGTGGGTGTCAACATCGCTGACTGAGCACTACACCCTACTCACCAGGCCAGCGATAGGCTTGTTTCGCAACTAGGAGAGGGTCAGCAGGTTACTTTGGAAACTTCTAACTAAAGGACTTAGGAAATCAGAATTTAACTCTGGGCCACTCAATCAATCTGAAAACGTAGTGTGGGAAGTCATGCAAAGCCCCGAACTGGGAGTCGGGAGACGTGGGCTCCAATCCTAACTCCTTTCTCTGGTCAGCTTGGACTGTCGTCTTGTTCACAGCAGCCAGCACTTACAGACACTGTCTGGGGGATTTCTGCTCAAATCTCCCAGGAGGAGGGAACTATCGTTGGCAGAGGAGAAACTGGGCACAGAGAAGTTTCATCACTTGCTCAAGATGATAAGAAGCTAAGTGGGAATTCCAGCCCGGTGAGCTGACCCCATAGTTGCCACACTTACACAGCCCATTATTTGGCTTCTGTCCAAGCCACGAGTTTCCCTCTGGCTCTCACTTGCTTTATTCCTTTGATCCTTAAGTTGCTGAAATTGCCACCAAACCTTGTATCAGTTCAGGACACAATAGATAGGTGGTTCCCTCAAGGCCTCTGACTGAAAAAGGCCTCTGCTTAAGAGTGGCTGGCCCCAGCATATAGACAGCTCACTCTCAGGATCACTAATACCCAGCAACTCCCAGGACTAGCCCTGGGGCCACAGCATGGGCGGCAGGGCCAGTCATTGTGTCTATCTCTAAATTGTCCTGCTGGATGGCTGTGGGGAGGGGCTTTGCCTTCCCCTTACAGTTCCCCCCAAAAAAGCACATTCTCTGATTTTGTTTCCGTGCATCCTCCTTTAGTTCACGCAGCCACCTGTTTTGCCTATCAGAAAACTGAGACTTAGAGAAGGAGCCGAGCCACTGAACTCAGGGGCTTCTGATTCTTTGGCCGGTGCTCTTTCTACCATGCTAGCCGTGCAAAAACTTTCTTCTTACAGCAGCAGAAGCTCTTCACCACCACGCCCCACACCTTTTTTTCCTAAGTGAACTAGTGAGTCTCGTTGGGTGGTGGGGTCAGGTGTGGGGAAGGGAGCTGCAGCCAGTAGCTTGGCTTCTTTCTTTTTTGTTTTGAAAGCCTTGTGAATAACTCCCACTCCCTACCCTCTGGAAAATGGAAAAAACTAGCACCTTCCACAAAGTGTGCTCTTTAGTGTCATCTGCACTTCTCCATTGAAGTAGGGGCCAGGCTTACTGCAGGAAAGAGGTGGGGGGAGGCAAAACTTAGAGGAGAAGGTGGATGCTGAGCTTAAAACCACAGTGGCCTCACTGACCACTAAGAAATTAGGGATTCTACCTCTCTCCCCAACATTAACATCGCTGGCCAGGAACAAAAATGTGACTTTAGGGCCAGCACTGAATTCTAGCCCCTATCCTGCCAATGACTCAGTGTGTGGACCAGGGTAACTGAACCTCAATTTCCCCATCTGTACCCATTGGGGGCTGGATCACTATGTCCCTAAGGGCTTTATGCTCGCCCCTTTAAGTTCTCAGTTTGACTCAGCCTGAGACTATACCTTTTGCAACCTGGGCTTCTCATCTGCACAGTGGATTTAGGGTCAGACACACCCACCTCAGGGTTTTTGCCAATGCAAGCTTCAGGCTGGAGAGCAGAAATAGGGATGGCAGAAAACAGCACTCACGTTATGCCTTTGGTCTTCTTCGAGCCTGGTGACTCTGAAGGACTTTCATCCAAGAATGTAGAGTCTTTGTTCTCCAACTTCTTGGCACTTTCAGGAGGCGACATAATGTCCAGTTTGATGGCAACAGCTCCCTGGGGACCCTCGGTACTTTTTGTCACAGACATGACTGCTTAAGAAACAGGAGGTCAGGGCGACAAAGAGGTCTGCTCTGGAAGGAGGGAAGCAGGAAGGTGTCTAGTGTAGGTGTACACTCCAGCACAGTGGTGTGTGCCTGGACTGGCTCTGGCCAAGCTGGAAAGAGGCCCCGCCCACCTCCCTGGAGGGCACCTCCCTCTGCCTGGAGAAGCCAGTGGAAGAGGACTCCTAGGAGGACGAGGAGAGAAAGGAGGGATTTGGAAAAGTCATCACCCATCCTTATTGGTATTATTTAATAATAATAATGATAATAACTATTATACTGATAATTTTCATAACAAATATTTATTAGGCACTTTCCTAAGGGATAAACAATCCTCTAAGTGTTTCATCTACATTTTCTCATTTAATCCTATCAATTAAATAAGGAAAAAAAATGAGGTTTCTTGAAGTAAAGGGATCTGCCCGAAGTCAGATAGCTAGAAAGTGACAGAGTTGGGACTAAGCCCAATTTGTCAAGCTTTTCAATCAGTAACCTATTTCTGCCTCCAAGAAAATACTTACAAATCTGTCTCCTTTTACCCATCTCAGGGTAGAAGTTTCCATATTTCACTGGCTCCACAATCTACTGTAAGACATCCCTTCTGGGAGCCCCCCATTCTTAAATTGGAACAGAAAAAAGGACAGTTACTCTCTCATCTCTAATAGATTCTTAGCTTTTGTGAGGTTCCATGGAGTGAGTAAAGGGTGTTCTTCTGGAAATGGGGAAGAGGCTGGGATTGTATGACTCCCAGCCACATTTTTCTGGGCAAGACCCTGGCGCCAGGAGGTGGTGAGATTTGCCTAAGGTCACACATGACACTTTGGATAGAACTCTGCAGCTGAAGACGGTCTTGGGCGTTTCTCTAGTATCCCACTCTCTGTCATTATCTCTGCTTCAGTGCAGAACAGGCCAAAATTTCCTCCTCTCTCAAAATTATAGCCTTTGACTCAAGCCATACCACTCTCTTCTCTATCATCTCATCCCCAAAACTAACATTTCTTAAGGGCTTACTACATGCCACGAGCTTTGCTTAGCTAGTGTCACTGCTAACTGGTAGCATCCAAGACAGATTTGTCAGGCCCCTCCCTTACATGGGGCTCTTTCCAAGGCCCTGTATGCAATTTTGAATGTACAATTGTGTATTGCTTTTTACTTAAAGAGGTCCTCCTTACCACTACCTCCCCCTTCTCAATGGGATAAGCTTCAAGTTCCACAAAGCCTGGCTAACTCTCTGGGTAGCTTTGTTTGTTTTTACAGATGTGGAAATTGAGGCTCAGAGAGGTCAAGAATAACTTGCTGGAGGTCACAGCCAGAACTTGGTAGATCTGAACTCCCTGCTCGCCAGAATTTTTTTTTTTTTTTGTCTGAAGCCTACAGCTTTGACTACTGTACTACCTACCCTGAAAATTTCTTTTCCTGAATCAACTGAAACACTTGTTGTGATTTGAGAAGTGTTATTCTCTTGTCTGGCACCATTACATGGCAGTATTCGTGGTCTGTGAAGTAGCAGGCTGCATCCGTGACCTGCTCGTTCACAGCCTGAAATTCCACAATTTAAATTTATAATCTCAGATTTGAAGTCACAGGTGGAGCTCTGTGTTCCTGCTAGAGCATGATCAGTAAATAAGATTGCCGAGGAGCTTGCTATGTTTAGACATGAGCTAGTTCTTGCCTTCCTCTCCAGATTGTGAGAAGAACTCTGATTTACCTTCAGACCTTTTGGAAAGGGGTGGCTGGAATATCGGTGTTTGGTTGGAGCTCTTCCCAGGCATCGTCAGTGAAAAGAAAGCCTATAGGTTGGGACTCGAGACCCTAACTCATTGCACCACCTGCCAGCAGGTAAGAGATCGTCTCCCAGGGTGGAGATATCCAAAATAAGCCCTTCTAGCACGTGTGGCCCAGGCACCTGAAGCCCTGGGTTCCACGGTGGCTCTAACCGTGAAGCTGTGGCAACCCTTGGAAAGATATTGTTCCCCTTTGAGCTCCAGTTTCCCCTGCGAGATGGATACTAGTTTGCTGATGACTTTCAAAAGCATGAGGACCCCTAGGGCTTGGGTGGGGTGTTCGGTAATGCTGAGTCACAGGCCGGCTTTTCTTGAGTGGGGCAGGCAACCTGTGAAAGGACAGTCTGCCCACTGGACAGCTCCAAAAAGGGTGGAGCAAATGGGATGTAAATAATGATAATAATCTCCTATGATCCTTTAGAGTAAACACAGAGCCTTGTTCCTTTCATGGCTTTATGGCAGTTTTGAAAAGGTGTGTATCAAAGCATCTGAAGAGATAATACAGAACAGAGACTCAGACTTGTTGAAGCAAAATAGAATCTGTGCTGTGGTATTTTTCACCAAGTTCCTTAGGTGATTCCGATACAGGCTGAAGTTTGAGTTCACTGTCTATGGAGTGGGAATAATTGCTTCCTTTTTAATAGATTAGAGGACCAAGGCAGAGAGCTGGGAAATGATTTGCCTGAGGTCATATAATGTGGTAGAAATGATCACTAGTACTCTTTTGGGCTAGAAGTCGGAGACTCCAGAGACAGAATGAAACCTCTACCCAGATGAAAATTCATCACCCTATCCTCGCTCCCCCAGGTAACTCCTCATAGTCTGTGGCTGATGACTGTGACTCCTCTTACCCCCACGTAAATAATAATGATAATAGCGACTCACATGTATTGAGTCTGTTCTATGTGCCAAGCTCTAGATGAAGTGTGTTACATGAGGTGGGCACTATGATTACCCCCATTTTACAGATGAGAAAACTAAGGCTCAAAGGGGTTACCTCACTTGCTAAGGTGACCCAGCGAGTACTAGAGGCATAGCTTTGATTGAATTCCAGGCCTCTTGGAATGTGCTCTGAAGCTGTAGTTGAGTTACCCCTGTGTTCCTCTGCTATGACTAGTGCGTAGTAGAAACTCTGAAATAGTGGAAACCCCTTTTCTGTGCATAATTCATGTCATTTAAGACTGGGACTTTATGCATCAATCAAATTTCTAAATAAATGTTAGGGACCGGTATAGATGGGCAAATTCTCATTTCTCTCTATAAAAAAAACTTTAAAATATCACCATTACAAAAAAAGAGAATATTTCAACCTCCTAAAGCTGGAATAACATAGTATCAGGATAAAGGACAATAGGGTTTTTTTGTGTGCATGTTTTTTGAGACAGAGTCTCACTCCATTGCCCAGGCTGGAGTGCAAGGTGTGATCTTGGCTCACTGCAACCTCCACCTCCCAGGCTCAAGTGATCCTCCCACTTCAGTCTCCCAAGTAGCTGGGACTACAGGTGCATGACACCATGCCTGGCTAACTTTTGTAGTGATGGAGTTTTGTCACGTTGCTCAAGCTGGTCTTAAATTCCGGAGCCCACCTTGGCCTCCCAAAGTACTGGGATTAAGACAATGTTTTTAATGCTAACAATACTGCTCCCTTTTTGATGGCCACTACCCTGTGCCTTGGTGTTTCTCAACTGTAAAATACTAATGAAGGTGTCTTTAGACAGTAGTGACGATTACATGAGAAAAGAAACAAGTACAGTGCCTGGGTCACAGTCACTGCCCCAGAGAGGAAAGCCATTTTTATTATATCACTTTGTTGCTGGAGGGAACTTGAAAGATCGTTTTGTTGACTCATACTGTCTCACCAATGGGGAACTGAGGCCCAAATAGGAGAAGGAATACAGTGAGCAAACAGGGATTCAGTGATGAGATAGGGACTTTAACCCAGCCCAGGTTTCTTTCTTTTTTTTGTTGAGACAGAGTCTTGCTCTGTCACCAGGCTGGAGTGCAGTGGTGTAATTTCGGCTCACTGCAACCTCCGCCTCCTGGGTTCAAGTGATTCTTCAGCATCAGCCTCCCGAGTAGCTTAGACCACAGGCACGTGCCACCACTCCCGGCTAATTTTTAGTAAAGACAGGGTTTTACCATGTTGGCCAGGATGGTCTTGATCTCTTGACCTTGTGACCTGCCTACCTCGGCCTCCCAAAGTGCTGGGATTACAGGCATGAGCCACGGTGCCCAGCCCAGCCCAGGTTTCTTGATTTCCAAGTTCTGCTGCTTTCACCACTTTCTAAGTGCCTAGAAATACAGTACAAATGGGAAGATTCACTAATTCAGGTAACAAACATTTACCAAATCCCTGTCATGTGCTGAGTGCCATAGCCGGAAGTGGGGAGGAGGTGGTGGACAAACAAGTACCGGTGGCCCTGCCTGGTCTGCTAGATCCGCGTAACAAAATGCCACGGGCTGGGTGGCTGAGACGAGATATTTATTTTCCCATCGTTCTGGAGGCTGAAAGGTCCAGATTAAGAGCTGGTGGGGTCAGTTTCTAGCTGTACTTGGCTTGCAGATGCAGCCTTCTCTCTCTGTCCTCACATGGCTTCTCTGTGCATGGGGTAGGTGAGGAGGAGAATGCTCTGCTGTCGCCTACAAGGACACTAATCCTATTTCAGGGCCTCACCCTTATGTCCTCATTTAACACTAATTACTTCCTTAGCAGCCTCATCTCTAAATACAGCCACACTGTGAGGTTAAGGTTGCAATTCAGGAATCTTGCGGGGAACACAGACATTCAGTGATGACCTTTCATTTGGCTCATAGTCTAGTGGGGGAGACAGCAGTTGCCTAGTGGAGAACACAGCTTTGTAGGGAAAACTGACAATAAAAGAGAAACAGATAACTTCAAATTGTGATAAATGCTGTTGAAGTCAAATAAGATGAAGAGATGACTCTCTAAATTTAAATCGTTTTATTTGGGAAGGAAGAATTGCAGTTTGAGGCATACACACAAACTGGGTGGTCTTCTGCATGTAAAAAGAGCAAAGAGAAGATTGGAGGTTTTATAAAAAGGAGAAATGTTATATATAGCTCTAAAAAAAAGTTCATTTGACTAGTAGAGTTCTGGGGCACTGGAAAGCTCTGACTGGTGAGTGACTGCAGTGGGTAAAACTATTCAGAGTTGTGTAGGTTGTTTCAGTAGCTATTAGATAAACTGGTTTCAGGTTACAGCATGCAGTTTCAGCAGCCAGGTTTGCAGAGAATTACATTCTTGGAGCAATGCTATCTGCCCTGAGTGCTTTTTCCCCCCTGGTTCTTCAACATTGATTTAATTGGTGAT